AAGGTTTTAAACGGTTTAGAAAAATTATTTTTTAATTAAAATTTTCCTGTCGTGTAATAAACGAAAGAAAAGGTCCCCACTTCCGTCCGAAAAAAAAATAAATAAATAACGTTCGGATAATTTAATGGGGAAAATTTTTTTTTTTTTCTACTGACCCGTATTAACAATTTTAAAAAGACGAAATTTAAGCTATGAATAAGTTTTAACCGGAAACTAAAAATTCTTTTTCGCACACCTTTTTTCCTCTCTTTCACTTCCGTTAAAAAATTTAAAATTTTCTAATTAATTATTTAAACAAGAATAGTTGCCAACAAAAAAACAAACAAAAAAATAGTAATAATCGAATAATCCCTTTTTTCTTAATTACTGACAAACGACTTAACGTGAACTTTAACCTTTTTTTTTTTTTTAATAATTATACAAGAGTAATAATAATGATAGTAATTACCGTATTAATTTCCACGTTTTTCATTTTTTTCCAGAAATGACGTAATACAAGAAAAAACGACCGCTTCTTATTTTTCTCCCCAGTCGAGTAATGATTTGATGTCAGCCATCTTTTTTTTTTTGAAAAATCTAAAAAATTTAATAGAAAAAAAAAAATAATTAAAAAAATGAACGTGTGAACGTGCGAACGTTTCGATTTTATTAAAAGTATTAAAAAATCGAAAACAAAAAAAAATATCAAATAATTTTAACCGGAATTTAAGAAAAAAAAGATCAAATAAATCTACGAGTTTGAATTTTCCTAAAAAATAAATAACAAAAAAAAAAAAAAACTAAATGATACCAACTTAAAAATAATTTTAAAAAAACGTAAACAAAACAAAACATAATGAAAAAAAAAAAAAAACAAAATGTTTACTTTAATCAACAACAACAAAAACAACAAAAAAAATTTTTTTCTCTTTCGAGAGAGAGAAAAAGAAAAATAATGTGGGGGTCAATTTAACAAACACAGCAATGAGAAAAAAAAAAAAAAGCTTTTTAAAAAATCAATACTCTTAATTATAATGATGATGATGATGATGATGATGATGATGATAATAATAATAATAATAATAATAATAATAATAATAATAATAATAATGTTTTTTTTAACAAATTTTTTTTTTAGGGGTGATCGGGTAAATTTATTTAAAATAAAAAAGTTTCACGTTTACCTTCTTCGTGTTCAAATTCAATTACAATGGAAAATAAAAAAAAAAAAAATTTAAAAAAAAGAGGGGGAGAAGAGGGGAAGGGGGGAGGGGATTAACGAAGCGAATCATTAAAAAATATGGCACGAAATTCGACATCAAATTTGTATCCATTAAAAAAAAAAAAAGAAAAAAATTGGCACCATCCAATTTGTCACGTGTATTTAGAATATTTCAACCGAATCACGCATACACGGTTCCATCTTTTTTTTTTTTTTTTGTTTTACCCTCATTTCCATTTCTCTCTTTCTCTCTCTCTCTCTCTTTCTCTATCTCTATCCTTTTCTCTATTCATTTTACTCCTTTTTTTTTGGTTTTGTTATTTGGATTTTGTTCATATTTGAAAAAATGAATAAATGCTTTCGACATTTTACCCATTTGTTATATCGTCAATTTTTCCAAAAAAAAATCCATACATGCTCTGATTCATTTCAAAATAAAATTAAAACATCTTTATATTTTGATTTAGTGTGTGCGTGTGTGGGTGTGTGTGACCTGCTTTTAAAAAATCATTTTTGTTTTACTATCACCATTACAATGAAAACGACGACTACTACGATAATGATAATAATGAGAAAACGACGAGAGGGAAAATCTTTTTTGGAAAATTTTCACACGACGTTTTATTGATTTTTTATGAATTATTTATCGCGAAAAAAAAAATTGTTTTTCGAGCCTAATAAAATAATTTTTTTTTTTTATTCACATTATTTTCACGCCATATTTACGTCAAACGGTTTTTTCCTTTTTCCGACGTGGTTGTAGAAAAAAATAATTTTCAATTTATTTTTGAAATCGTCAAGACGACAACAAAAAAAATATTCGAGAGAATAAATAAAGACATTTTTAATAAATTTTTTCGTTTGTGTATACTTCAAAACTAACCTACGATAATTTAATAAAAATTTTAATAGGTCATATTAAAAAGGGAAAATTAAAAGCGAAATTAAATTTTTATTTCTTTTAATAACATTTTAAAAGTTTTAAACAATCGATTTCCCTCCCCCCTTTTTTTCCTTAAATTATGCATAATGTAAAGAAATGGGGTAAAATGAATATAAAAATAAAAATTTGTTGTAATAACCGACTTTTACTTTTTTAACCCATTAAAAACACCCGGACGAAGGGTCCAAAAAACAAAAAAAAATTTGAAAAAAAAGGAATGAATATTTTTCGAATAAACCATATGATTCTTTTACAAATTTTTTGTAATATTGTAAAAATCACGTGCAGTACACGCGTACTAATTACGTGTACTATTAATATTTGCATAACTTATTTATTTAAAAAGTAAAATGAATAACGAAAAATTTTCACGTTAAAAGTTTTTTTTCCTTTTAACAAAACATTTTGAAAATCTTTTTTTATTCTCTCCTTCTCTCTCTTTTTCTCTTTCTCTCTCTCTCTCTCTCTGTCTCATTTTCTCTCTCTCACAATGTCTATTTTTTTCCCCCTTTTTTGTCGTTTACCCCCCGGGCGAAAAAAATAAAATAATAATAGTAATAAAACCCGACCGATAAAAATGTTAGAATCATATTTTCAAATATTATTATTATTATTATTATTATTATTATCATTATTAAGAGTATTTATTTATCGTGATTCGTTAGGTCGAAGAGAAAAAAAAAAGAAATTTAATTATAACTCCGGATAAAAATTTTCGAATGAATGAAATAAATTAATTTTTTTTTTTTGAACAACCGAACCCGACGCAATCATTTGATTTTTATATTTTTCCAGCAAGTTTTAAATTTCCCCCCCCCCATCTCCCACCATCTCTCTCTTCTTTTTCGTGAAAAATTATTATTATTATTTTTTTTTTAAACAACATTATTTTGATTTTGAAAAAAAAAAAAAAATAATAAAAACTTTTTCTTATTGATTTGATCTCGAGGGTTTTCAATTCAAAACAAAACGAAAAAAAAGTCAATGAAAAAAGAATTTTTTTTTAAAAACAAAAACCGGAAATACGAATTTTTTACAAACAAATTTTGAAACAATTTTGAAGAGACTTTTATAGAGAAAAAAGAAATTAAATATTTTTAACAAAAAAAAAATTCTCGGTCGGATAATACTCAAAACTTCAAAAGAACACGAGAGTGAAAAAAAAAATTTAAATCGAAATAAAAATAATAATAATAATAATTAATTCGATACCTTTTGTTTTCTCCCTCCTCTTCATTTTTCCTTTCAGCACAGAATACGACTTCGTCATCTGTAAAAAAAATAATAATAATGATAATAACGGAATGAAATTTTGTGTTTCAGGTTCGCTCAACCCTTATACGGTTACATAGTACCTTTTTTACTGGTCATAACAATCATAGCAAACACATTAATAGTCGTGGTTTTATCAAAGAGACACATGAGAACGCCGACAAATTTTGTTTTGATGGTCATGGCACTATCCGACATGTTCACGCTATTATTTCCCGCTCCCTGGCTTTTTTACATGTACACATTTGGCAATCACTACAAACCGTTGTGGCCTGTCGCCGCGTGTTATTTATGGAACGCAATGAAAGAAGATATACCTGCATTATTTCACACGGCATCGATATGGTTGACATTAGCATTGGCTGTACAAAGGTGCGTACGTTTTTCCTTATTCCGATTTGTTTCTCTGAAAACAAAAAAGAGAGAAAGAAAACAAAAAAAAGGTAAATAAGGTTTTTAAAAGTTCATTTATATTCAGTACGACGTTTTATTTTTCTGACTTTTCATCTTTTTTAAAATAAAATAAAAAAAATATATATATTTATAAAACATGCCGCGAAAAAAGAGAGAGAGAGAGAGAGGAAAGAAAATAAGGAAAATGTAAAAATTGGAAAGAATGGGTTATGATGGTGGTGGTGGTGGGAGTGGGTGGTAACGGTGGGGGTGTTGAGGTGGAATGAAAGGTGAAAAATTGAACGTGAATAAACAAAAGACGTGAAAAATTTACATTACAAAATTTTTTTTTTTAATTCAAACAATCTGCCTCCTTTTTCATGCCCATTATTATCGCGTAAAGCTATAAAAATTTGTTGTTGTTGTTTGTTTGTTTGTTTGTTTGTTTTTACTTTAATCAAATACTTTAAAATAGTTATAGCTCTTTTGCTATATTTTTTGTTACATAATCTTTTACAAAAAGTAACATCAAAACATTTAAAATTTTTCCTTGTCTGTTGGGATGATTCTTACAAAAAAAAAAAAATGGCGACGTTACGATTAAAATTTTTTTATAGCAAAACCTGAATTAAGGTAAAAAAGTGGTTTTTGTTTTCCTTACGCCCCCGCCCCCCCCCCCACAAAATAAAAAATTATACAGAATCGCTTACGTTTATTTTATTTTGCTTGCATTTACTTTTTTTTATTTTTCGGTTATAATTTTTTTTCTTTTTGTTTTCTTTCCAGCACAAAATCAAAAAAACTTTTCTCACTCTATCTCTCTCTCTCTTTTAGTTTTTTTCGATTGAATTTAAACTTTTCTTTTTTTTTTTTATTACGCATTAGTAAATTATATTCATAACAAAAAATTCAATTTTCTGAACAATGTTCAGAATGTTACTACGCACGTACATACTCGAAGAAAACAGGCAACGTTTGCCATTTTTTCCATTTTTCTCCAGACTTTTTTTTTTTGTTCGATAGCCAGTACCTTTTATTATTATTATTATTTTTATAAAAAAAAACGTTTTCATAATAAATTTAAATTTTCATTTAGTACTTTACTCTCAATAAAAATACAATTTTTTTTAAATTTCCTGTTTCCGCCATTTTTTTTTTTTAAATAATTTTTTATCATTATTTATTCTCTCATGATGATAACACGTCAAAAAAAAAAATCATTTTCCATTCTTTGGAAATCTTAAATAAAAATTTTTTTGATTAAATTTTGTTTTGTTTTATGCGGGGAGTAGGTAGGGGGAAGGCAGAACGAGGAGGCGGTAACAAAAAATTATTTTCAACTCTTTCCCTTCCTCTCTCTTCCCCGCCCCCACGCTATATTACCTACACGAAAAGTTAATCAAAATCAATTTGCTTTTGAAACAAAAGACAAACTTTTTTCAAATAATGGAAAATGCACAGTAAGTAAACAAACAACGTGTTATCGGTTGTTTAGAAAATGAAAAACTAAAACAACATAATTTTCTCTTACGATTTTATACAAAATTATCTCCGATGTATCATCCGAGTTGATTTTCTCCAATTTTGTTTAAATTATTATTATTATTATTACCGTGTGTCACATTCTCACCCTCTCTCTCTCTCTCTCTCACACTATTTTACATTGTTCAATTGTCAAATTCTTATTTTACACTTAAATTTACTCCAAATAATATACTAAATCTAATTTTACGTTTTCCGGAAAATTCATCGTGGCATTCTCTTTTAATTCTTGAACTTTACAACGCGACAATGATGGAAATTTTCTTCTTCTTCTTCTTCCTCTTCTTTTTCCTATTTTTTAATGAAATCCTTTTCTATTTTATTTTCTTGTAAATAAATTTAACTCGTGCGTACCACATAACATTTTCGGAGTCAGTCGATAATTAAAAAATTAATTTTCCTAAAAATTTTCATTTCCCTCAGTGTAAAAATTCATTAACAAATACATAATTAATTCTTACATAATTATTTACACGATAAAATTCGAATCGTATAAATTCAACCGGAAATTCGTCGTATAAATATTTTCACTTGATGTAAAAAAAGTTATAAAATAGCAAAAAAAAAAATTTTTATTTTTCACAGGTACATATACGTTTGTCACGCACCGGTGGCTCGCACTTGGTGCACGATGCCAAGAGTCATCAAATGCGTGGCTTGGATCTACGTATTCGCGACCCTTCATCAATCTTCTAGATTTTTCGATCGAACTTACACTTCGATAAACATAACGTGGAACGGTGTGCCTGATGTGGCCGTTTGCAAAGTTAATTTAGCCACGTGGGTCACCGACATCGTGACCGAAGATGTTTATTTTACCGTTTATTATTGCTTTCGCGTTGTTTTTGTACATTCTCTGCCCTGTGTTTCGCTGGTGGTGCTCAATGTATTGTTGTTTCGTGCCATGAGAGCCGCGCAACTTAAAAGAAAGGAATTGTTTAAAGAAAATCGCAAGTGCGAAAGTAAAAAAATACGGGATTCGAACTGCACCACTTTGATGCTCATTGTCGTCGTTACCGTCTTCCTAGCTGTAGAAATACCATTAGCCGTTATAACCGTTTTGCATATCATATCGAGTGGTATAACCGAAATATTAGATTACAATATAGCAAACGTATTGATTTTATTTTCAAACTTTTTTATCATTGTTAGTTATCCAATTAATTTTGCCATTTATTGTGGAATGTCACGACAATTTAGGGAAACTTTTAAAGAGCTTTTCATACGTGGAGCGATAACGACGAGAAGAAACGATGGAAGTTCAAGATATTCATTGGTGAATGGACCTCGCACGTGCACCAACGAAACTGTCCTATAATGAATGAACTTGCGAGCACACACACACACACACACACCAAAACGCTAGACTGATTACAATTTTAAATTAAATTAAACATGAGTGAGTATATAATTTTCTATAATTCTGTTACCCCCGTATTTATTTATTCTATGAAATAAAAAAAATATATTTTAAATACTCTAAGAATATCCATTTGTTTAATATAAAAATATTATTAATATTATTTTCGTCAAGATTTCTTACGTAGATTGTTTATTTCATTTACGTATATCATTATTATTATTATTATTATTATTAAATAAAATAAAAATGTTTGAAAATTTTATTTGAGTAATTTTCCCCTACCCCTCCCCCCGCGTAACCTCCTGACACAATTTATTCTTTTACATCATTAATTTTTTCTTTAGAATTTCATTCAAGTTTTTCTTTTTTTTTTTCTCATTATTATTATTATTATTATTTTCAAAATTAAACTTTAATACTTCATTTACGTAAATTTGTCCTCCGTTTTGAATTTTATTTTTTTTTTTTTTGTTTAATATAAATTAAAATACATAAAAAATTTAAAAAAATAAATAAAAAATGTCGTCAATTTTGTGTGCAACAAAAAAAAATAAAGAACTTGAATAACACTTATGTAAATAAAGTTTTAAATAAGTAATAAAATGATAAAAAATCAAATTAATTTAAATAATTAAAAAGTTTAAAATACTTATAATAAATACACGTACATGTACATTCTAGATAGCAAAACATTTAAGAAATTATTTACAATTCTTAATAGTAAATAGTTAATGAGTTATACGACAGAGTAAATTTTAAATCGAAAAGATGTTAAATAATTACATACGTGAATTATTCTAAAATTAATTAATTATTAAAAATCGTTACCAAATAATCAATCCGTTCGAAATATCATTACGTAAAAAAATAAATAATTTATTTTATAATTCTAACCTTAAAAAAAAATATTTTTAACCGCCACCACCCCCACCACCATCACAGATTTCAAATCAAATTAAAAATGGAGGTTAAAAAGTTTTTTTTTTCAGTTAGGAAAACTTTTTTTTAAAAAGTTAAAATACGTTTAACATAATGGAAAATTTTTCAAAGTAAAATTAATGAACTTAATTAAGCAAATATTAGGTAAGAGAAAAAATGAATTTAAAAAATTTTAAATTGATTTTTTTTCTACTTTTAACGTTAAAAAAAAAACAAATAATTATGAAAAATATTTTGTTATAGAAAAAAAAAAAAACAATTTTTAAAATTTTTCCTCTCTCTCTCTCTCTTTTTTTTTTTTGTTTAAATAATTTTTTCGTTTTTTTATTTATTACAGGTGCATATGATCAATTATCACAGCAGCTGTAGACAATCTCACAAAAGGCTAAAACATTTTCGACTTCGTTTGAAACAATAAACAAAAACAAAAAATGTCGTTCGATAAAAAATTACAATTTTTTTTTTTTCTACTTGATTAATTATTAACATTTTCCATCATTGTCATTATTTTTTTTTTTTTTTTAAATTAAACGTGAAACTTTTACAAAAGCAATTTTTTTTTCATTTGTAAAACCAAAAAATATATGGGAGTATGAGTACGGGGGAGGGAGGGTGTCAAAACGATTCAAAATGGCGACGTAAACAAATAAAACCCTTACTACTTTTTAAAAAAACATTGAAAAATAAAAAACTATAAAAAAAATTAAATAATTCTCAGCTTAGCAGTAGATATTTAAATCCATGATAAATTTTTATTTTAAAACACAAACAAATTTT